CCCTTACTTCTAGGAGGGACCATTTCATATGGCTAGGCTGTGTGGCTGTGTTGTGTATCGTTCTTATATTTAAGTTACACATTGTTAATACATTATTAATTATCTCTTTATTTATCTTACATAGCTGGCCCCGGTTGTTCAAAGAGCGGATAAGTCCTATCCAGCGGATAAATCACTATCCAGTGGATAAAATTTATCCACTCGTGCCATCTCGGTTGTTCGAAAAATGGATAGCGTTATCCACTCGCTATCCAGTGGATAAATTTATCCATGGTAAGGTAGGTAGTATAAATTTTTATCCACCAGATAAACGACACAAACATGGCCGGTCGACAGTTGCATCTTTTACAGAGCACCTTGTTGCTAAACCGTGTAAACCAACTTCCCAGAAAAAGGAGAACTTTCCACCTGCAGCTTGACCCGTTAACGTCGTACACCGACTCCAAGTTAAGATGTCGATATCGTTTTGGGCGAGATGCAATCGACTACATCGTTGGACTTGTTGCAGACGACATTATGCCTGAAACGAACAGAAACCATGCCGTTTCAGCGGAGATGCAAGTGTTGATTACCCTTAGGTACTTAGCGTCGGGTTCATTTCTTCAAGTAATCGGAGACACATTTTTAGGCTTCAACAAATCAGCAGTCAGCCGAGTTGTACGTCGTGTCACACAGGCCTTATCTCCAAAGGTTGGCGAAATAAAGCAAGGTCTTTTTCGTGTTGGTGGATTTCCGTGTGCCATTGGTTGTATCGATGGTACTCATGTGAGAATAACAGCCCCTCACGAAAATGAGCCAGACTTCGTGAACCGCAAAGGTTATCACTCGATCAATGTGCAGGCAATCTGCAACCATCGAGGTAAGCAAATACGTCCATTACTTAATTTAGGCTTCAGTTTACACCAAGGGTTTCTGTCATGCAAGCAATTGGCTCGATCTCTTTCATACTCAGCAATAAAATCCGGAATCCGGAAACGGAATCACGGAAACGGAAACAGAAACGGGAACGTGCTAACATTATGGTTAGAGTGGGAAATTGTAAAGTTTTAGAAATACTAAGCTGAATTGAAAATTTGTGTACTGTAAATGCTCTGTTGGACATACAGCAAAGTAATTAATTAATCAATAATGTTAATGGTATTTTACAGGTTTGTTTACAAATGTTGTGGCTAGATGGCCTGGTTCAACTCATGACAGCCACATTTTCCGGACCTCTGCCAGGGAATGGTCTGACAGATGGTGTATTACTTGGGGATAGCGGATATGCTTGCTCGCCCTTCCTGATGACTCCGTACCTTGACCCCAAGACCCACAAGGAGGAGCTCTTCAACAAAGCGCACAAGGTGACCAGATGCATCATTGAACGGGCTTTTGGTGTGCTGAAGAGGAGGTTCCATGTGTTACATTCAGAAGTGAGGATGGCTCCCGACAGGGTTTGCACTATCGTTGTAGCCTGCTGCATTTTACACAATATTGCAGTGATCCTCGGGGAGCCAGATCCAGAGGATTGTGACATGGAGTATGAGGGATGTGCTGCTGACCTGCACAGCCAGTACCATGGGCATGAAACTGGTAATGCAGTGCGACAGCACATAACCAACACATTTTTTTAATTTAATGTACATAGTGAGTGCACACTTGTCACATAAAAAGAGAAATTGAGTCAGACTTTTCCTTGCAAGGGGTGTTGTACTGTTACAAAAAAAACAATATGAATTATTATTGAGTTCCCAAACCCAGGGGGGCTGCCTTGCCATGCTGCTGTCAAGGGTTTGAAAATCTAACCTTGCTTTAGACACAAAATCCTAAAATTCATATATGTTAACTCTTTTGGATATTTCACTCACTTTATTGCCGATCATAATTACCCTGTTTGGGGAAAAGGAAAATTATAAAATGCATGCCACCTTCTTCTAAGATAATTTATATTGGCTATTGCAATCAGAGCAAGTTCATTTGTCACGTACATACAATACCCTGTTTATAATAAGGATAGACTCACATAAAATTGCGCCGTGTTTAAGACAGACTTGTGCAAAATTATCTAGTTCTGGATAGAGAGGACAAAAACCAAACCCTGTCCAGCTGCACAATTCCACTGTAGGTTGTATAAGGGAGTTCCCACAGTACAAACCCTTTTATGTTATAACAATTAGGGTATTGTAATCATTACCTTGTATATGTAATGTTCTCTGCCCATTTCTAACATAGTACCAGCTACAATAATGTGATGCCCAGTTGAAAGATCTCTTTCAAAATGCTGTCATCTTTGAAAATCGTGAATTGTTAACAATCAGCACTATATATAGCTGGAAATGTATCTCTTAGCAGGTTTTTAGAACAACAACCACATTCTACCATGCTGATTAGTTGGGAACTAATGGTCTTTAAAAAGACACTGAAAATAAGTCGAAATTAACACAAGCCGCAGGGGAGTGTGGTTTCACTTCAAAGTAAAATTTGAACATGTTTTGACATCACTAGATGTTATAGTCAATAGAAGTATAGACCATACCTGGGTAATTGTTTTTGATTTATTTTATATGGTATAATTTGACAGTTTAGAACAACCATTTCCATTGAAACTTGTTGGAAAAATGTGTGTTCAAGAAAGAAAAAAGAACAAATTGTTCCTCCATCATGTCATTTCCATGGTCTGTATAATCTTATTGACCATACTTGCTGACCAAAAAGTGCTGCAAAAAAAATTGCTTAGCTATTGTAAGATCCTGCTTTGAACATGCAAATGACATAGTTGATGGCACATTGAAAGTCAACTGAAATGAGCAGATTTAAATTGCGTATTAAGAAATGACAGAGAAAGTCTGTTTGTTATGCTGAGAGGCGACTACGTCCATTGGTGCTCTAATAAATGTACTTGAATTTTTAATACAGATTGATGTGACATATATTTTGTGTTAACTGTACTTGGTAGGGAAAAAAAGGTAACATTACATGGTAGTTGCTTCAATTGTTGAAGGGAATTTTGTCACCTTGAGTTAGCAACCCCGATTGCTAATTCATTGCTCTTATGAGATGAATATTATGAGATACAACTGTATAATCAGCCATCAGAGACAAAACTGATAATCGGAATGCGTGAGTGTCTTTTTATTCACAGTGTGGTTACACGTCTCAGGAAATGCGAGGTAACACTACAACTTATTGTGATTTGTAAATAAATTTATAATCAATAATTCATTGTCATGTTAAAAATAAAGAATTCGTAATTTTTTGTCAATACTGCCATAATAATAAAGTTGACATATGTTTATGTTGTCTCATTAATAGCAGGGTTCATACAGATTTTGAATCCATAATTCAAGATGTTTTCCAAAACAATCATTTTTTTTTATACTCAAGGTTATCAAATACTGAGGTGATCAATAGAGACCTTACCAACACTGAAGGAACAAAGGCTTTTTCCAAGATGCGCTGCAAACGTACAAGTGAGATTGAATAAAATTGGACTACTAGCACAAAAAAATTCACTTGTAGCTGTTAAAAGCACTTTATATTATAACTTTAAAAAAACTCAATACTTTTTACCATTTTTTCAAGACTTCATCTCTATTTTCCAGACGTTTTCTAGGTCTGCAAAGTTTGCCCAGGAAAATTAATTCCTAGGCAAATTTCAAGACCTTTTCAAGAACTCAAGACTCTGTATGAATCCTGTAACTATAGGCATCCAGGTATGCAAGGAGCAATCAGCAATCATGAATATTATAATCATGTAAATGTACAAATGTATGTAGCAATGCCCACACCAAATTCTAAGTTAAGTTAAAGGATATTGGGCTTCAAATATAATATTCACTTTCAAAAACATATTTACACAACTATAAAACCAATTAATTTTGAACATTACCTCTGTTGTTGCCAATGAAAACATGTATATGTATATTTCAAATACTGGTTTGTTACTTTTTTCATTTGTTTCAGACTTCAATAATAAAAGACAAAAAGAGTAATAAATAAATCTGTGTGATTCATTCTTCATGTGGTGATAATAAATAATCTACACATGTTTAACTGGTATACCTGGGGGGTTACTTGTCCCAAATTTGGGAAAAGGGTGACCTACTGAGGGTTTGAAACCCTTACCACATTAACAACCAAAAAAATGCTTAAATACTCCGATCTGTTTAGGACAACACCCTTGTTTTTTTACCTGATTTAGAGCAAAGGACAAATTATTGCACTTTATCTTGTCATTTTCTATCAATTTCAATAAAGCAAATACCCATTATAGTCATTGCTTTTATGTATGCTTGGATTACAAACAAATTTCATCCTGTTGATAATTAGGGCGGCACACCCCCATATAGGCCATATAAGGGAGCACCCCACTGTAGGATTGAACAGTGACACAATCAAAAGGGTTGGGTCGCATGGGCCATTGTGACAATAATCTATGGAACTTCAAAATCTCCTTTTTGTTTCACAAGTAAATACAGAGAAATTTGAAGGGAAAATCTTGCAGTTACTAGGATACCACAATGCACTTAGCATGTTTCTCCACACCCACACCCCTTATCGATTGAAGGCAAGAAAAATGCCTAAAAAGCCCATTTTGTGGATTTGCACAGTGTGTACATTCTAGCCAACATAATTGGCTAATCAGGATATATAAAAAAATATGGTGAGGATACATGACAGAAACATTTCAAGAGATATATAAGACCATTATCCGAAACCATGGCAATTTTTACTCACTATATCTGCACTGATATGATCAACAACTTCCAGTTGCACCACTTTCAATAATGAGAAATATTGGCTTGTTAACATACAAAATGAATGAAACAAAATATTCACCTCATTGAATTGCCATGGTTTGGATTATTGTGGGAAGGGGCATCTTAGGAAAATAAATTGGATCTAGATTCCAGCTCCTGAATCCTCAACAAGATTTCTCGTTTCTTTAAAAGTATATTTTCAATTTCCAAGTCAAGTTTCATTTTTTCTTTTTGAAGCACAGCGAGGTGCAGTTCATTGATCTCGTCCATTGTCACTTTCTTTCTTGGAGTTTTCTTGGGCTGTTCAGGCAGCTTTGCTGAGGTCTTTGACGGCAAAGATACAGGTAGTGATTCAGCAGAACTGCTTGAGGAATTCAGCTGTGTATCAGGTAGAGCTACAGGCATGGGTAGTGGATCTGGCACGATTGAAGACTGGCAGCTGGTTTCTCTGGTGGGTGAGTTTCCAGAAAAGGGACTGGTTTCTCCAGCAGATAGAGTTGACTATTCGAGGATGTCAGCATCAATTGTTGAGTCCCTGGTTGAGTCTGAAACTTGTGCTGCATAAACATTGTGGTGTGTAAACATTGTGTTAAAACCGATAACTAGTCTGATTGTCCCTTTCACACTTTATTTCCCACTAAGTACTCCAGAGAATCTCAACGCAGCTGACCAGTTTTTCTCACTCTTTATCTGCTTCTTGGGTTTAAAGATTAAAATTAATATATTGAAATTTTGGGTAAAATAAGCTTATTTATGCAAATGGTAATTTAAAGAAAACTAACTTGGGTAACAAGACTGCTATCGATTTTGGTAACACCTTTCTTAGCTTAAGTTGACAATGTTTCAATTCTTTTGACGATAGAATAAAAGGCAGTAGCTTTTTATATACCGAATAATTTTGACAAATTCGCAGCTGACAATATGCGGACCGCTGAGGAAACGGGTGAGCTTTTCAGCTTGACCAAAACATCTTTTATAAAATTAAAGGAAACGAAACAAGGTTAGCTCTTATAGTGCAAGTAGCCGTTTTCGATAGATTCGTTTGGTACAGGTTTCCAAAATTATTCGCTCACTCGCTCATATTAAAGCGGAGAATGGTTTGGTTTTGTTTTTTCAAAATCATGCATGCGAATATCGGTATACCAACGAAAATATATACATTACGATATGAGCGTTACTATAAGCCATTTTTACAAGAAAATTCTTCACTTTTCAGTGAACTTTAGCCGGAAACATTTTAACTTCTACTGGGTCCAACGCATCCTGGGCAAAATGCAGCGTATGAAAGCTTAAGACTTAATAGCGGGGCTGCCGCGCGCGCGAAGCGCGCGTGGGACAGAGCCCCATACCCATGGAATATGGTCAACCTCTTTTCGTTTGGTTGTCACGTGATTGACCGAGCGTACGTACGTACGCGTCTACAGATTGTACGGGTGGGGTAGGGGAGACTATGAAAAGGAAGGGAGGGGTGTCTCAGGCGTGTCTTGGCAAGTCCACATCTTTAATATAGGATTTTAGTACAGGACATTCACAATATGGTCAATTGACAGCTGTCAAAACAGGATAGCCACTGACCAGTATCCCATGACCATATCACGGGCTCATATGTCAACTCATCGAGGTGACGTGATTTATTTGGAAGCTGTCCGCTGACCAGTTAATTGTTTTACTAGATTGCGAACAATGTTCAATCTCATACTTTCACTAGTTAAACTGATAATGCACGCATATTGGACATCAATCTTTTGATCAATTGACAGCTGTCAAAACAGGGTACCCGCTGACCAGTGTCACTTGACCATATCGCGGGCTCAGGTGTCGACCCATCGAGGTCAAGTATTTTTTTGAAGTTATCCGCTGACAAGTTACTAGTTCTCAATTGATCGCAGGCTCAAGATCAATTTTTTTCTAAATTCATATGAAATATGTTGTGTTTATGTGCTACACAATTAAAATTTTGATTGCAAACTGACCTTGGACACGAAAATTCAGCCAGCTGTTACAGGCAGGGAAGACAGTTGCTTATGACTTTTCTCACCATGGTCACGGGTTGGTCACGCTCTACGTCCAATTTTTATGCTCTGATTGGTCAAAATTTGACAGGTGAGTTCATGCGGAAAATTTATGCAGCATCTTGAATCTTGTTTACTTTGACAGCTGAAGCTGACAGAGTTTTGTGTCAACTTGTGATGTTTTTAACTGTCTTTTTCCACTGGATGTGCAAAATGAAATTCAGCTGCTATCAGGAGTCTTTTGTTATTCATGGCTAGTTTGTTTATTGGGTTTTTGGTTGAGGAATACGTCGCTTGTCAAAGTCGGAAATCCGATTTCGGATGGCATCGTTTTGGTTTTCACCTTGCTTGATGCGTAAGAGGATTGCAAAGTCTGAAGCGATACTGGCTTTTCTTGATACCTTTCAGGAGCTGCATCTCGAATGGTAAGCCAGAGAAATTATTGTATTTGATGTTTGTTTTTTTGTATCTAATTTAATGAATTCAGGCAGAGTTTATGCGGGCATTTAGTTTATGCACGTTTGTAAGATTTGTGACAATGATCTGACCGAGTATCAGGTTTGATATAAGCTTACAGAACTTTAAAAAGCCTTTAGACAGTTTCTCACCACAAATAGAAAGAAAACGTTCCAAAGAATATTTAGTTATAATTCTGGCCGGAAAAGAAAGCTTTGAGCGATTTTCTTGCCTCGAGTTCGTCTTTGAAAAAAGCAACGACCGGGAAGCCGGCTTAAAACATAAACTTAAGCTTGAAGCTTGAAGACTCAGGGTTTTTAGGGACACTTTAATACTTGTATTCATGAATGAAAATTGTTGTCTCTGTATATGTTTCACCGAATTATATTTCTTTTATTGATTGTTAGTAGTCTCTCTTGTAATTTTATTCGCTGTGCCGATTGCTTTCAGTCGTTCAGTGAACATCCGTCGTTTGCAGGAGTACTCAAAATGCCGCGCGTTAAACCATTAAATAAAAAATAAACATAATAAATTCTTTATAATGTTGGAGCGTAACTCTGTTTATGTTCATTCAAACACTCGCCACAGCTCGCACTGCAAAAGTGAGAACCGGATGGCCGTATAGGTGATTTTGGAAATTTTTTTAACAGTTTATGAATGCCGGTATGATAAAAACAGTTGGTTTACACGCACCCAGATTTGTTGACAAGATTTTGCAAAGTAAACTTGTCGAACGCAAAAAAGTTGGCCTGATTTTTTTTCCACTAATTAATCTACGGTGATCAAGAGCCACTATGGCTCTTAAATGTGATCGAAGATGAATTACCAGTTTTTGAGTGTACATATGAGGCTATCAACTCGATGTAAGATTTAGTTCACTCTTGGGCTGTTTGCAAATTATTTTTCTCTAAAATCTGGTAGCCTTTCCCTCAAAAGTGACATAAATGTGCTCTAAAGTTAATTGTGGAATTAATTGTGGAATTCGAATACAAGTTTATTGTTTAATTTAAATTATAAATTTATTAATGGGAGCCTCGCTTTTAGCCCTGGCTAAATCTATATATTAGTGAAGGCGAAAAAGTTACCAACTAGAATTCAACGCAAACGCCTTTCAGGCGAAACATAGCTACTTAAAGTGATTTATCGTTTCGCTCGTGTACCTTTGAAATACAGACAGCTTCATACCGTAGATATACTGCTATTAAAAGTTATAGAATTTCTAGCAAAGCAGTGATTTACCTGAATCTATCCCACCGGAAATGCCGCTAAACGAAGGGTCGTCCTCAAACAACTGAATTATCTTCACTGTTGTTCCTTTTGGGGAGTCTGGTTTTCTTCCTCCCCCAGTCTTGCTTCGTGACACAGCGTGTTTGCTGTGTTCTTTCCTGGCTGAACTGACCATACCCCTCCACTTTTCTTTCACCTCCACAACACTTCTTTTACATACACCGATGGCATTCACTTTGGTGGTGATTTCTTCCCAAACTCGAGACTTATTTTTGTTTGACAACGTTGACGAAAACTTGCTTTTAATTATACTTAGATTCTCTTCTGCCTCTTCAAAAATTACCGCACACTCTGCTGGCATAAAGTTAGGCTTTCTAGGGCGCTTGGCCGGTGAAGGCTCAATATTTTCAGCCATGTTGTTGTCCGTCTCGCACGCGCAATCTAAGCTCACGCAAGGCTAGATTTATTACCATGGCAACTGTCTGGATAGCGATTTATCCAACAGATAGTTATACGCAAGGCTATCCGCGCTTTGTGCAACAGCTTTTTATCCACTGGATAACTATCCAGTGGATAGCAGTTTTATCCGCTGGATAAAGTTATCCGCTCTTTGAACAACCGGGGCCTGGACTACAAAATCTTTTTCAAAAAGGAATCATCTGGAGATGTGGGGAGTACATGTGCTTCGATGAATAGGACTGGGAAGACCAATGCCAAGCAGGGACCATTGGCAGATTACAATGCATACAAGGACTTTCATGACAGAGAGTTTGAGGCACATGTGCTGGCATCTTTCATGACATTCTCTGGGATGAAAACAATGGGGAGGTAATCTTTTACACTAGACAAAATATTTGTGTTGTATGTTTGAAAATAAATGTTGCCTATAAAAATAAACATGGGACAAAAAGAAAATTAAAAGCACAAAATTGCCGTAAAATTTATTCTGAAATTAAGATGTTATATAAAAGCCTCTAAAATTGTTATTTATTTTTTGATGCTGAGAACAATCAAAATAATGATGGTTTGAGGCAAAAAGTAAATTTATTAATTTTGCTCTGTTATAGAACAACAAGGGGAGTGACCATTCCCTCTGTTTGGCCCACAAAAGAGGAAAAGAAAAGATGGTTTAAACAAACCATAGCCAGTTACCTTTACCAATTTGTCTTTGGTACCACAGATGTGTCAACCATGGTAGAACAAGTCGAAAGACTTGACAACAATGCTGGTGACAGATATCCATGCAGGGCACCAGGCTGTGACAAATCCTATGCATTTCACTCTGGTAGAGTGAGGTTAGTATAACTACTTTCACATGACCTAACTATGGCAACAATATTATCTCACAAATACATGTAACAGTATAATGCCGCTTATTCTTTAGTCTGATAGTATTAATCAATGCTGCTACAATTATAACATGAGAAACACTATTCAAATTCCAACTAAAGAAAAAAAGTTACAATTATCAATTTATCATATTTCTCATATAAGCACAACACTTATTACATTTTTTGACCTCATTCAAGGCTTGGCATGGCTTGGCTTACGTGTATTAAATTTTCA